TCCAATCTTTCTCAAAGTAGTAAAGCCTAATTTCGCGAATATACGGATGATTTTTCGAGTATATTCTTGTAGAGGAAATCAAGTAGATCATTTCTAGAAAAAACCCGAACTCGAAAGTCAAATTCTTTCAAGAGAAAAAGAGCCGCGAAAGAATCCGCAATAATTATGCATCAACTTAATACTTTGGCTGCTAGTTAGTTGGAAACTTCGAAGCCTCCTGTTCTGAATCATTCTGATATCCCCGTTCAATTTTCGGGTGGTTGCACTTCACCGACCATTTATCAAACCTTTTTAATCCATTTTTCTGATCGAAAGACTCTGACGTTGTCCCATCTGGTCTCTTCCCGGAAATCGTGCCACATACCCTGCCTTGCACAGGCTGCCAACCAGCCTTCAAAGTCCATTTACTCTTGCCACTTTCTTTGCTAGCATACTCAATTGTCTGATTTTTTGTTATTTTCAAGAATCAACAAAGTCTTCAATTATCTGAGTGGAATCGTGAATTCCTTTGCCTATGCATTACTACTTTTTATTCTTGCAAAAAAGAGAATGTTATCGTTTGCTCAGAATCATGAACTCAAAGTAACGATACAGGTACGTGCGTCAGTATAAAAAAATATTATTTATTTTATTATGGGACTGCCATCTCTATCATTTGCGTCCGGAATCAGTAACCGACATTCGGCAAAAGATATATAAAAAACCGCTAAAATTGGAAGCCTATTTGGTCAAACTGAGTGTCAAGCATATTAAGAGAAGCGGCCCTACGCCTTCAAAGGTAGCAGTGAGAATAGTTTCTTTGGGGTCCACCCTTTCTATCCAAAAGAGCGTTTGCTGTTTTGAAGGTTAAATCACGTCACTTAAGATCAGTTCGATTTATTCTTTGAACGTTGATCAGTCCTGTCCAATGGGTGCGCCCCGCATTCGACTTCTTCAGAATCGCATTGGTGTATTGAATGCGCATGTATATGGCCTATACAATGCGTACAATACAATACATTGAGGTTCAGGAATGATCGCCACGTAAAAGATATTCAAATAGCAATATATCAAGGTTTCAGGTGTCTATAATGATGGCAGAAGAAGTGGGATTTTTTGTGTATTGGGAATTCTTTCCTGTACAGGGATATGGTGCTGGTATGGACATATTGATAGCTGAGACAGCTTTGATGTTGTTTCTCGACGTACTCATCCTTCCATACTTAATCCTCAACAGGTTTGTCATTCCACTGGATGCTCTCTATTACGCTACCATTGCTATTGAATATTGCCTACAATTCTGTTTAAACTGCAATTTTTGTTTCAGAAACATTCATGCCGAGCTTAAACGAATATTTACTCGCTGCGGCAGGAAGACTACGAACTTCGTAAGAATTGGAATGCAATCAGATGGAAGTAAAAGAAGGGCATGGAATGAGAATTGACAGAAAGGCTTCAACTCCCACTCCATCTCAGTTGCTATCGTTTTCGATTAATGTGATACGAGAATGACTGCCTAAACAAGGCTTATAGGCCGCTTTCATAGTCCGCCGGCCGGCCGGCGTGCCACGAGGCAGTGCTAGGGTGGAGGAGGGCGGCAGACGGTCGGTCAGCCCCTCGAAGGGCTGTAAACAAGGAGAGACAAGATCAAAAACCATTTGTACCAGCCCCTGGTTGTTTGGTTTTTGATCTCGTTCTTTTTTGTTTCAACCCTTCGACCTACCGTCTGCCGCCCTCCTCCCACCTAGCACTGCCTCGTGGCACACCGGCACGCCGGCTCGCCGGCGGACTATGAAAGCAGCCATATGTGCGACACACAGAAACAACCCTCGAGCTCAGCTACAGTATCTGAAAAATTGTCATTTCCTTGAAAACTATGTACAGTCAGCTCACCAGCCCCTGGTAGATCATGTCTTTTTGGTCAGTAGTCACCAAAGTTTCAGCAAAAGCTTTTTGCTGAAACTTTGGTGACTACTGACCAAAAAGACATGATCTAAAGGGTTGCTTCGATGTTCTGTGCAAGTTTCGCATAACTTAATTGTTGTTTTTCCATTTATTCATTTCTTGGATTTAATAAATGTCAGCTGCAACCGTCCTCTTACAGTGAAGCTCGTCCACTTACACGGCATACATCATCTAAGGCACAGCAGTAGTAACAATGGGGACTAGAGGGGAAAGTGAATAACGATCTTCGGATCATTATTCACTTCTCCTCTGGTCCCCATTGTAACTGCTGCTGTGCCTTAGATGATGAATTAGGTTATTGGGAAAGGAATGTGCGTTGAATTGGTCCATTTATTTCTCTCCTACAATACCTGATTTCTAGAGCAATTTTTCTAATAGAAAGAGATTTTCATTGCGCATCTTTTGGGATGTTTTTGTTTATGTCGCCTTTGTTTTCTTTAAAGAAAAAAGTTCAGGAAATGCTCCAATAATTCATTTTGCGAGCTCGCATGTGGTACGACTTCAAACAAGGCAGATTGGCTGCTGAAACTCATCATCTAAGTTATTCGGCGAAGAAGCCCTGTCAGAAAGCCAGTGTCGACGATGGTTCCAGCATTATAAAAGCGGTAATGAAAGGTTAGAGCGGAAGAACAGGGAAGTCGGCCTCAATTCGTCGATAACCAGTGTTAAAGTCCGCCATTGAATTGGATCTACGCCAAACCACTCAAGAACTGGCAACACATTCTGGCTGCTTAAACTCTACCATCCATGAACACGTGCTGGCAACTGGCAAGACGAACAGGTGCGGAAAATTGGTATCGCACCACCGCGTCGCGGGTCGGGTCGCGATTGATCGTGAAAATCATTTTGGAAAAAATTTACGAATAGGAGCTATGAAGTCCTGCCTCAACCGCCATACAGCCCAGACCTGGCACCATCCGATTACCATCTGTTTCGGTCGATGCAGCACTCCCTGGCCGAGAAAAACTTCAGAAACCGCGAAGAAGTCCAACTCTGGGGGTCCAACTACTTTGAGTGGCACCCGGCCGAGTTTTTCAGAAGAGGAACTCATTCCTTGCGTAAGCGTTGGCAACAAGTCATTGATAGCAGTGGAGACTATCTTTTGAATTGATCTTGCTTAGCTTCGTTTTTATAATAAAGAACTTTTGAGCTCAAACGCGCATTTCTTTCCGAGCAACTAATAGTTAGCCCATGATGGAGAAAAGGAATGTTTCTGTTAACCTGAGAGTGTTGCCCAATGCATGCACGATTTCGTGAGTATATGAGCACCAATCATAGCTTGAATGGTCTCGTTTCTCGATGCACCTAATCTTCCTCGTGGATCGATATCCGCCCAGCCAACCAAGTCTTCCATCCCTCCAGGGTCGGTTAACTGTTTTCAGACTCGTCTGGGAGGATAAAAGCACTAACTTGTGCATTGGCTGGCCACACAAAGTGATTCTATCGGTCACATACGCATCAAATACGCCACTACGATTCTGAGTGGAATCGAAGCGGGGGCACATCCCTCAGACGGGATTAGCCAAGACCAAAAAAATGTTGAGGACCTAATCCTGTATTACTTTCTTCTCAACGGGTCTACCATTACGACACTTGGCTCATGCTATTAAATTAATTAGGGATAGACTCGTCCAAAAACAGTCATGACGAACAGAAGCTCTTGTATGCCCTACTCAAGAAATGATACTGTCCTTTCCAGGCTTTAAAATAATCTGGTTCGATCTCCGAACAGCAGCAAACCACGTAGAAAAACTAGAGATTCCCATTTGATTCGGGTATTGTTGTTTAATTGTTAGCATCATAACGGACCTAATCGCAGGAAGCTACAGTCTTTCAATTCTCAGTAACTTAAATCTTTCAATTTACAGCAGTTCATTCAGTACATCCGTCTTTTCAGACAAAGTGAATATAATCTGCCCTAATGAATTGTCTAAATTACACAATTTGTTTGGTTTTCAATGCGATTCTATACGAAATGAGGTCATAATCGGCGTTATTCATTTTGTTATTCGAAATTGTAGGCACAGTTTTTCGGCATTGATCAGCTTGGGATTTGGGACATGGTGGAGGAGACTGAGAGCACTCCGATAGTTTTGCCCTGCTCTCCATTTATTTCTTCGTATAGCAATATTCTGACCGAAACCCAATTCCCTTAGAAGGTTTATGTATTCGCATGATCCAAGATGCTCTTTCCTGCCCTTTATGTTCTGTTGTTTTCATTTTCCCTCTTTTTTACGAGGGTAGTTCTTCAACTATAAGCCTAATGACTTCGTTACGATACTATTGACAAGAGTAGCCAATTGTTTATTTAGATTTCATTTTGGTGATAAGAAANAAAGCGTGATTTCAGAATAAAAGGTGAGAATGAGAAGTTACTGAGTAAAAAGATTCCGGGGGAATGTATCAGACTGTTCTTCATTATGGCTTTGAAACACTGTTGGGGTGATTTGAAAGAGTAAGGTTTACTTGTCATTCATTACTCAAACTCGGATATTGAGACTTGAATATGAAAAAAAGAAATTGTGGCGTCCCGCTCTACGTAGTACTTACTTACTTTCTCTCTGTCATTACCAGAAGCAATTTCTGTTCCTACAACAGATAACGCAACTACAGAAAAAAATCGTTAAACAATGTCTTCAAGCACCGTAGCCGCACCACCTGAGCTTTTCGTTGGAATCAAAAGAACCTGTGCGGTCATCTTGTACTACGTCATCTCCATATCCTCCATTATCCTCCACACCTTATTCATAATGGTAAGTGGTAATGACCTACATATATGTTCTGAATAAAATATCTGGACCGACCATTTGAAAGGATATTTTACCACAGTCCTCTCTTTCTACCTGCGCCTGACCTTTGACTATGAATGTGAGCCGGTGTATGGACGTATTTATATTTACTTTTGGGTCGCTACGGAAATCTAAAGTGGGCGGGATTCTCCGGGCGTGGTGCAGTGGGAACGAAATCGTCGCGTCGCGGCGAGAGAGACGGCGCGCGCGAAGGAATGTAGCAGAATGCAGCAGCAAGTAAGAAATACAGGAACAAAAGAACTAACAGTAGAATCATGCCAAAAGTAATAATCGCATAGCGATCGAGCTGTATGAAGTACGTTAGAGCCATAATAACGGCGAAACGAAGTTCGCGACAGCCGCATGCGGCGAATCGATTACTCAAAACCGTTCCTACCGCCCGTCCCCCGGGTTCTCCTACTTCATCTTCTTGCGCTTTAGTTCGACGAGTACAAAAAGAGATAAAGTACATTGAAATTTAAGACGATCTTTGAACAGAACCAATAAACAGCGATAGAAATATGTTTAAAAAAATCTTCTAAGGTACTTGGGCCATGTCACTGCACTATGGATAAAAGCTCTTTCCTGATTCAGGTTGTCGGTATGAAGAGTGGAAACTGTGACATCCAGTGAATGTTGAATAATATTGGGTTCTTAAGGGTATTAGAAAGTTACTTGGATGGAAAGCAAACTTTTCGTTCACCCTTCTAATTTTCCTATCAACAATGGCTCTAGTCTATTTCTCTATTCACATGATATCATGTGTTACCGCATTATTTTACATGGATTGGGAGAAGTATCAATCTCTGTGGATTGTAAGTTATTCGTCTGCTTCAGCTTTAGGAAAAGGGAAGGCATTTTTACATTTGTCTAACAAACACTAAGCAGGCCATATTTCATGATTTACATTTGTATTTTTGAATGACT